AACAAAACAAACAAAACAATAATCGTGTAACCACAGGAAGTTGATTAGAAATGCTTGTTTTCGTTCAAGTAAAAGCTACACAATAGAATACCTGCGCTGTTCCCAGCCGAATTAAAGTATTTAAAGCCTTAAACTTTTTTCTCGCTGTCCCACCAGGAGACAGAAATAGTGATATAAATCAATACTTGAATTTAAAAGAAATAAGTTAGTTTATATTTTAAGCGTAGAACAGCTATTGGATAATAATTCGTCTTTCAATTTTTTTTTTTTTATCAAGAAAGTCCCCCCCCCCCAGTAGCAGATCGGCATGTCTGTGAACTTACAACGCTAGAAACCGGGTTTCGATATCCGTCGTGGGCATAGCACAGATAGCCCATTGTGTAGCTTTGTGCTTGATTACAAACAAAACAAAAACAAATTGATCAAGAGTTGATGATGGAGGTTATAAGAAAATAAAATTTGCGTTAGCCAATAACAAATGATATAGTATCGGTGTAAAGTAAACAAACCAATCAAATCACAGAACATGTTTATAATAGAATAAAATCGCCAATAGAATCGTGTAGATTTTAATTAGAACATGAATAGAAGTCTGGAGTGGATTGTTTGGTTGCTTCAGATTCTAACATTAGCCGTCGATCGTTGATAGTTGTTCAAGGCAAGGGGTCAAGAAAGTTTAGTAGCTTGAACGTGCGTGGGTGAGGGGGATAAAATAAATGAGCCGAGAGAGACGTCTCGGGTGCGGAATGTCCTAGAGACAACCAGATAATTAAACCCGTACAAGTACCTTAACTAGTCTTGTTAGCGTTGTGAAGCTATAAGTAAATAACACGGGTGTCCAGGAGCAGTGTTGTAGCAACAATTACTTTCCTGTTCAAGCTTCTTATTAGATACCAGTAAAAGCTCAGTAAATAAGAGTACAATAGCCAAATTGGCTAATATGTTCATTAAGGTGACTATCATTTGGCCAGTGTATATAGAGGTAAACTGCAAGAGGGCGTACATTTAATCCGCCCTTCACTCTCTTTCTCTCTCATATGTACAATATGCAATCACAGCCCCAGTTTTTCTTAAATCGGGGGGGGGGGGGTCTAATGATACATAAAATGAGGACAAACCCAAATTTAGATTAATGGACGGCATTACATGGGGGGCAACGAAATTTCATGTTAATATTATCCTGTTCGTACCGTTCTTTATCTGGTCTGTTCGTCTATCATTTGGTACTCTACTCTTTCATGTTAATGTTACCCTGTTCGTACTATTTCATGTTAATATTATCCTGTTCGTACTCGTTCTTTATCTAGTCTGTTCGTCTATCATTTGGTACTCTACTCTTTCATGTTAATGTTACCCTGTTCGTACTATTTCATGTTAATATTATCCTGTTCGTACTCGTTCTTTATCTAGTCTGTTCGTCTATCATTTGGTACTCTACTCTATCATGCTAATGTTACTCTGTTCCTACTCTTTCATGTTAATGTTACCCTGTTCCTACTCGTTCTTTGTCTGGTCTGTTCGTTTGTCATTTGGTACACTACTCTTTCATGCTGATGTTACCCTGTTCGTACTCGTTCTTGTCTCGTCTGTTCGTCTATCATTTGGTACACTACTCTATCATGCTAATGTTACCCTGTTCCTACTCTTTCATGTTAATGTTACCCTGTTCCTACTCTTTCATGTTAATGTTACTCTGTTCCTACTCGTTCTTTGGCTGGTCTGTTCGTTTGTCATTTGGTACACTACTCTATCATGCTAATGTTACCCTGTTCCTACTCTTTCATGTTAATGTTACCCTGTTCCTACTCGTTCTTTGGCCGGTCTGTTCGTTTGTCATTTGGTACACTACTCTTTCATGTTAATGTTACCCTGTTCCTACTCGTTCTTTGGCTGGTCTGTTCGTTTGTCATTTCGTACACTACTCTTTCATGGTGTGTCTCAGTAGGTTAGTGTTAAGTTTACGGGCTCACAACACTCAATTCCAGGTTCGATTCATGCTAATGCTATCCTGTTCATATTCACTCATTATTTGCCCGTCTGTATTAATATGTTAGTTCAACCTGCTGTTCACCACAGTCAGCCATTGCGTCTTCCTTAAGTTTCGATGACCGTTTCGCAGTTACCAGTCAATTTACCATTCCACTATAAATCAACACTGAACATTTGAAAGCGTTCTTCTTTTTCTTACGTCAGGAAATCGATAATAATTTGAAACAGGAACCGATTCTAACTTTCGACTTGTCAATTTCATCAACACGGGTAACATCTGCTTGCCTAAAATAAAATTATATGTGTTACCCTGTTACCGTAAGTATTAGCAGGCTTGTTTGTTTTGGAATTTCGCGCAAAGCTACACGAGGGCTATCTGCGCTAGCCGTCCCTAATTTAGCAGTGTAAG